ATAACTTCGATTTCAAATAAAGCAAAGTTTATTATTGCAAAAATGAGATCCTCCAATACACCAAGTTTAAGATAAAGCTAACCTTCAATGAAATAGGGATTGACGACGTCGTGGTGGACGAGCTCAAAGTTTGGATGACCAATCCATTGCTCAACATTGCGTTTACGACCCGTAAAGTAGTTATCCAATGCAATAACATGAAATATGGCAGATAGTAGAAGACGGCAAACTCTTTGTTAGCGAAAAGATAGAAAATCAACTGTAACACTCTGTTAAGTTACGTCCACTAACCTCATGTCCATCCATCATCAGTTTGTCCACTAAATGCGACCCAACAAATCCTGCACCACCAGTAACCAAAATTCGCTTCCGCGTTTCCTCATTCCGAAAACGTACATCTGGAAACGTTTTGCTGAAAGAAGCTTGTACACATATTGACAGGAATAATAAAACTTAAAGTACAACTTGAAAATATGATAGTCGATGCTACCTGTTGGAGGAGATTGTCTTCTTCGTTAACAATGATCGCAGTGAAGACAGTTCCGTTTCCAACGCTACCATTCTAGCAAGAATTGCATCGCTGTAATATGGCAAAGTCAAAATGGATGGTATTTATGAATATTAATATTAAAAAAAGGATGGTCCCTTTCAAAGAGAGCGAACTGACCCAAGCGAATCAAAGTGTCATTTTAACGTAAATCATGAAGAATTTTGGGTGATAACCGCGTAGGCATATTGGCGAATATATCTGCTACACTATCTGGGGATTAAGAAACTGTCGGAAATAAGAGAAATCTAAGTGGCTGCATGCTAGATTTAAAATATCTCTGAATTCAACTAAATTCACTGGATTTAAGATATCTTTATTCAGAAAATTCACTGAAGTTTCGTCACATAGGTGGAAAAGGCGACGAAGCAAATAAACAGTGAATATGGCTGTACTTGATGCCCAACCGAAACACTTGTGGGAAATGAGAGAGGGGAAAGAAAAGAGAAAAATTATAAGAGAATGAAACAAAATTAAAAATGTTTGAAAAATTGTTTTACCTGGCGTTTTTTTCACTCAAAGACATAGATGAAGCGACGTTAGGTGTGAAGCCAGTCTCCGGAT